TACCACAGGGATCTCAGAAACAGAACCAACTTTCAGGTTCAGATCCCACATTGAAGCCAAAAAGACCGGACATCCCTTCTTCCACATCCTGCTCACCTTCAACACAGAAACCAGACTGGAGAGAACACCTCGTAATCTCTGAAATACAACTCTCTCTCCAGCCACAAACAAACTCACTTGCTTCTTCAGACAGTCTATCTGGGCCTCATACTAACTCAGTCAATCCATGCCCAGAATCACATCATATGAAGAAATCGGCAACAGAATCAAACTCGATTTCCACTTCTTGCCAGAAATCTCAATCTCACAAAAACAAAACTGTCGAGCAATCAAAGGACTTCCAGCCGGTAAAATCACAGAAAGCGAAACCGGAAGTAAAATGGAATCCAAACGTAAAGCCTCAAAACAACGCTCGAACACAAAAGAGTGACTCGCTCTAGAGTCAAACAAAAAATGACAAGACTGATCAGAAATATAAACCGTACCTGTCACAACATCGGGAGCATCACGAGCCTCCTGCTGACTCAAGCTGTAGACTTGGGGCTGAACTGGAACAGGAGCTGAAGCAACAGAACTACTCTGCTCCCTCTGAACCGTAGGTGGTCTCCGTGGTCCAGAACTAGATCCACCACCTCTGGCAGCAAATCCCTCAGGGCATGGAGGAACAGTCCTCGGTCTTCCTGCTGCTGAACCGGCAGGTCTGACAAAGCCCTCAGATCGGAACTCAGAACGCTGATCAAATCCCATATGTGGACACTCTGCAATCTGATGTCCTGACTGACCACATCGGAAGCACAGACCAGCCATCCTGTAACACTGGCCAAAGTGTCATCGTCCACAGTTCTGGCACACAGGTGCCATACTGACTGATCCAGAACTCGTCGTACTGGTAGCAGTACCAGACGACCCTCCGCTCCTCCTGGAGTCTCCAGATCCAGAACCAGCTACAAATCTCCTTTTCCAAGAGGAACCACTGCCAGAAGCCTCACCTCCAAATCTATTCATACTCGCAGTCCACCGCTGCTGAGTAGTCATCAGGTCATTTTCTATCAGTCGAGCTCGCTCCACAAGCTCAGAGAAGCCAGTGATCCGAAATGGTATCAGGGGCTGTCTCAACGTATCTCGTAATTCCCTCAGAAATCTGTAACACCTCTCAGCAGAAGTGCTAACCAGCTGCGGGGCGTACCTGGCTAATGCAGTAAACTC